CTACTACTACTACTACTACTACTACTACTACTACTACTACTACTACTCACTACTACTCACTACTACTCACTACTACGGCTGCCACTATACCACTACCGCCGCCACCGCCACTTCTACGACTACTACGGCTACTACGCCTACTACGACCACGACCACGACCACGACCACGATCACGACCACGACCACGATCGATGACGACGACGACAACGGCGACCGCGACGACACCAACCACGACCACGACGACGACCACAACCACGACGACGACCACGACCACGACGACTACTGCTGCCACCTACGACTATGCCACTTCTGACCTTTCTTCCCTCTGCGTGGGTGTCATTTCAAAGAGTGAGACCACATGTGCATATTGCAGTGACAATTGCTCTACACAATGTCAAATACCTCAGCAAGGACAAAGGAAACTTGACCTGCAAAGATTCTACCATGATGTCACGACAGCAAGTGTGCACAGATGTTGCGCAACTAACAACAGCCGGCCATACATCTGTACATCAGCACATCCAAACAGCACTGCAGAATCTGACGTAAGCACGCCATGCAGACAATGAGTTCGCCCATCCATCGTTGCACCCGCTCGTGATACAGGATGAGCCTTACAGTTGCGAAGCCGTTTGGTTCCGCTGGCAGCTGGGGAGGGAAGGATCCGGTTGTCGGCTACGGCTAAGAATATGTTCGATTTAAGTTCCCGGAAAATGCGAGCTACGCAAATACTAAGGGTCTAACAGCAAATGTTAACCCCAACATACAAAACACATGTTCTTGTTCGCGCCCTTGTATGTCCTGCCACCAAAAAGCATATGTGGCATTGCGTTGCTGATTCGGATGAATCCCCAAATCTGAGCTATAACGTACCAATCACCAGGATTGAATGGGCGGAAGTCTTCCAAAGCAAGAGACGCGCAAGGTAGCATTACGTTGCTGCGCGCACACCCATCAATGGGATGATGTGGTGCTGGGTCATTGGGCGATGTGGCGCGTGGTGATCTTTGCTGTGGGGGCGAAGTGTTCTGTGCCCGCAGTATGCTGTAGCAGGGGGAGATGCAATGTGGTGATGCGACGCGCGCTGGCTTTTGATTTGGTGACACACAATGTGGCGATGGTTTGCGCGGCGTTGTCCGTACTATTCTGAAAAAACATATCTACTTTTCCCTCCTTTTCTGTGATTGTCTCGGGAAACCACAAGCTTTCTGCGCTGTCCAGAATCAATTTTTGTGGCAAATGTAACATGATATCTATCAGTTATATACATATAGTTACACATGTATATATATATATATATTAATACTGCTTGCGAATTTCGTTCAGGCCACTGATCAAGGGCCTTCCTCTTTCGCTCAGACTCAGAGGAAAGCGACCGTCCGTGAATTTGAGCTTCGCATGGTAGCGGAGCCTGTCACAGTAAAGGTCGCCCGGGTTCCATACTTTCTCGGGCCGACTTTGTTGGCGCACGCAGCCATGTCGGATCGAGCTGCGGTTCACGAACGATGGGGCACCCATCTATGATGGAACGGCAGGATTACTATATGTTCTGTATCGCCACGCTGCGTTGACCAGCGTGGGGGCGTTGGAATGAAAGAAACGAATGTTGGCAGGGCCCCGACTTGAGAGAGCAGTTGCCAATCATCCACAGAGGTGCTTGGCGGCTCCTGAACTTAATGACGAACAAGGCTCAAGCTCCAACATTGGCTGGGCCTGGAGGGCCCATTTCCAAGTTTTCCTATGTAATGTGAAACGCGGAAAAGGGGAGAGTCTGAATCTGAACCGTCATGATGAGTCGCTGTACGATGCCCGTCGGACACTTGCAGAACATCCACAACAACACGGAGGGGATGACTAGGTCCTCAGCAGGCAAGCCATCACTACACAAGACAGAGAGTTATTACAGCCGCAACCGCCAACCGTTCAGGCTCTTCCTGAAGATCCATGGGGCCGCTGAGATGTGGTTGGTTTTGAAAAGATCCCCGCCGCAGCGGTCATTCAGCGGGTGGCTCAAAGTATCATGTCCCAGAATTTGCAGCCAATGAGGCCGGCTTAGATGTTGCTGCCGCGATCAGGCGTGGAGAGCGTGGAGCAATCACCACGAACCTCAAGAACCAGCTCACCACAGATCATGTGAAGAGAACGCCTTACGTTTGGCGTGGCCAGATGATGATCTGAGAAAGCGATCAGCAAAGGTTCTACTGGATGAGGACTTCGAAGATGCCAAGGGTGGGAGCCATCTGCTGACGCAAAGTACTCGCAATCAGCATTCATGTTCATGACATTTGTTGCCAGCCAGTTCTCTTGAGCAATTTCAGCTCTGGGATCTCTCGGAGCTGTCAAAGACTGTTCGCAAGACGACATGTTTTTGAAGACGGAGGACACCTGGATTTTCCACTGGCCTCCGTGTTTTTGCACGATCCACACCATTTCAGAGTTTGCAAGACGCACCTTCGGAGTCGGGACATGCCCCTCTTCAGCGAAATTTATTCGGCGAGACTTGTTCCGAACTGTCGAAAAGGGCTGGGGAGGCTAATTTCAGTGTGTCGACTGTCGGGGCAGCCCAAGGGTGCACACTCATTTGTTTCAGTTCAAAAATGTTCATGCGGTTTCAAAATGCGATGTTTGATTTGTTATGTGTGGGAGAGACAGGGTCGTTGTTTTTGTCTCAGCTCATTTCCAGCCGGCCGGCGGTGAATAGGCGGAAAGGCAGGTCTGTGACTAAAGATTTCTCCTTTGGTCTGGGGTTTGGTTCTGATCCGGGGCTTCCTGGATCTGCGCGGATTGCGCGCAATTGCTTTGCAACGTGCCACCCTGGGTTTAAACATATTGTGAGGGGCTTGATGCTTCGCCTAATCTAAACAAAAAGCGCTAACCTACAAGAATGCGCGGGCCGTGAGACTATGGAGTTTGAATGGGACATTTCCGGGCATTGCAAGGTCCTAGTGGGTTGCTGGGAGAGAACTATCACACGCGCACCAAAGCGCCACGATTACACGCAGTTTCGATATTGCCGCCAATTAAATAGTTGGGTTGAATCTGAATGAAATTTGCAACCTGTTTGTTTTTTCATTGTTCCTACCCACCTGCTTCCTAGCATTTCGGGCGCATTGCGCCAGCCGGGCTCTCAGAACATCAGACGATACTCGCTTGGCGCTGAATCTCTTTCATGTTCACAGCTAAATCAAAACCCCAGTGCGTATGTTGGTTATACTGTCTTGCCGGCACACATGATCAAGATGCTGGATACATCAGTCAGGGCTGCTTCTTCAGAGCCATCACAACATGTCGCGCGCGCAAGCTTTGAGATTTGTTTGCCTCTAGACTCTAGAAGACGCTCGCAAGAAGTCTTGGATTCGAGAAATTGTTTGATTCAATGATGCCAAAAACATGCAGGTCAAGAATGTTATTCTTGCCAAGGTCTTTGAGAAATTGCCCGACCATATGAAAAAAGGCAATCAGCAAGTCGCACAGATTCCAGAACATCACGTCAGCTATTTTTACTTGAGAAGAGGGAGACACGAAGGGTAGGAAAGTTGGAAGGTGCACGGGGGGAAACCACAACGCGCATACATTGCATCGCAAAAAAGATCCGATGAATTGGATCCACTTCGGGACGAAACGGGGGCATCTGTATTGACATATCAATGCCCCGGGAGGTTGGGAGTGAAACATCAATTCCAAGCGGTTTGGTGTAAACGGTGGTTGGTGTAAGCCGTGGCTTGGTGTAAACAGTGGTTGGTAAAAGCCGTGGTTTTGTGTAAGCAGTGGTGGGTGTAAACCGCGGTGTGGCGTAAACGGTGGTGGGTGTAAACCGTGGTTGGGTGTAAGCGGTGGTTGGTGTAAAATGTGCTTTGGTGTAAACAGCGGTTAGTGTAAACGGGGGCTTGGTGTAAACGGTGGGTGGTTGCTGGTTGGAGTAAAACGTGGTGTTGTGGACACGGTGGTTGGTGTAAACCGTGGCTTGGCGTCAACGGCGGTTCGTGTAAAATGTGGCTTGGCGTCAACGGTGGTCGGTGTAAGCCGCGCAGGGGCGTACAGGGTGATTGGTGTAAAACGTGGCTTGGTGTAAACGGTGGTTGGTGTAAAACGACCGCGCAGGGGCGCAAACGGTGGTTAGTGCGAAACGTGGTTTGGTGTAAGCGGTGGTTGGTGTAAAATGTGGTTTCAGATCTACATCCGACGCGCTGCGCCAGCAAATCCAGATCCGAGCAGTAGCAGTGGACGCGCTGCGCAAATGCAGAATGACTCGCGCCAAATAAGATTCATTTGAAAAGTAAATTCCAAGGGGCGGGGGGTTTGGATTGAAAATCAATTCCGAGGGAGGGTTGAATCGAACTATCAATTGTTAGACCCGGAGGCGCCCACACTTGCTTCGCAAAACAAACTCAAGGTATCCCCCTGAGGGCTACCTTTCGTGACAAGCCGTAAGTTCCTT